GGTTTTAGGTGGATGTTCTTTTTTTTTTTTTTTTAAAGTTTTATTTTTTTTATGATAGTCACAGAGAGAGAGAGAGAGAGAGAGAGAGAGAGAGAGAGGCAGAGACACACAGGCAGAGGGAGAAGCAGGCTCCATGCACCGGGAGCCCGACGTGGGATTCGATCCTGGGTCTCCAGGATCGCGCCCTGGGCCAAAGGCAGGCGCCAAACCGCTGCGCCACCCAGGGATCCCTAGGTGGATGTTCTTAATCAAGTTGAGAATGTTTTCCTCTGAGAATTTTTTGATGAGAAATTTTCTAGAATATAAGTTTTGGGATTTTCTCAAAAGCTTTTGCTGCATCAGTATTAATGATCATACGATTCTTCTTCTTTATCTTCTTTATATGCTGAATTATGTCAATTTTAGAATGTTGAATCATTTTTCTACACCTAGAATAAATCCCCCACTTGGTTATGTTGTGTAATTCTTCTTGTACATTGTTGGATTCTATTTGCTAATAGACACAGGAGGAGGGAGAAGCAGGCTCCATGCCAGGAGTCCGACGTGGGACTTGATCCCGGGACTCCAGGATTGTGCCCTGGGCCAAAGGCAGGAGCTAAACTGCTGAGCCACCCAGGGATCCCCTCAAATACATCTATCTTGAATAAACATGTTGCCAGCTGGATGGCACAGTTACTACCTAGACAGCTAGATAAAGAGCCAGGCCTCGCCTACTCATGAAATTTTCCTTTTAGGAAGTCTTGGGTAACCTACATAACTGACTGCTTAAGTAACTGACTTCTTTCCCTTCCTTGTACCCAAATTCCCATTCTTACATTTGAAAACTCACCAATAAAGACTGAATCACAGAAAGCCTAGGCAACCCACTCTCAATCCTGATAAAGGCAGAACCCCAGGTGTGAACTCCCTCTCTCTCTACCTGCAACCTCCTTGGTCCTTGGGCATGCTGTGTACCCTCCAGGATTTGTAAGTAATAAAACTTGTTTTTCTCTGATAGTTGTGGCTGAGGTGCATCTTGCATTCATAATAAGAACCAAAAGGGCCTGTCCACTCACAACACTGGCTCTGGTTGTGGAAATATCTATGCAGGCTTGCCACAAGTAGTATGGGCCCAGGTGAGTGCCCCAGGCATTCCTAGATAATAGCATCACTGCTGAGATTGGCATGAAACAGTGTCCTTGGTCAATATGACTACAGTCTTTATGAGAAGAAATGCCATGTGAAGACAGAGACACTTGGGGAGAGCATTGTGTGATTACAGAAGTACAGATTAAAATGATGCATCTGCAACCCAAAGAATTCTGAGGAGTGACAGCAACCACCATAAGCTAGGAAGGATTCCCCCCTACAGGTTCCAAAATGAGCATGGCCCTGCCAACACCTGTTTGGACTTCTATTTTCTAGAATTGTGTGACAATAAATTTCTTCTGTGTTAAGTCACCCAGTTTGTGATACTTTGTTACAGCAGCCCTAGGAAACTAATATAAATTCTATTCTTTTAAATTTATTAATATGTATTTTATGGCCCAGAATGTGGTCTATTTTGGTGAATGTTTTGACATTGAGAAGAATGTATATTCTGTTTGAAGGGAGTATTCTATAAATGTCAATTAGATCAAGATGATTGATAGTGTTATTTAGGACAATTATATCCTTACTGATTTTCTGCCTGTTTTAACTATCAATTACTGAAAAGGGGTATCAAAATCCCCAATATGTTAGTGGATTTATTTTTATCTTTTTGCAGTCCTTTTAGGTTTTGCTTCATGCATTTTAACATTAAATTGTTTGGTGCATATGCATAAAGGATTGTTGTGTTTGTATGGAGTGTTAACCTCTTTATCATTGTGTAATGCTTTTCTTTGTTGCTGATAATTTCCTTGTTCTGAAGTCAGCGTTGCTTGAGATTGATATAGCTACTCCAATTCTCTTTTGATTAGGTTTAGTGTGGTATTCCTTTCTCTGTCCCTTGACCTTTCCATTTAATAATTAAATTTTTAAATATTTTAACAACTTGATTGACATATTTCATATACCTACCATTTACCCATAAAAAGTACACACTATTTACTGGCTTTTAGTATAGTCAACAAGGTTGTGTAACCGTCGTCACAATCAATTTTAGTACATTTACATTAATCCCACAACAACCATTGCAACCCCTTAGCTAATCCCCCATCATCTGTCAAACTAGGCAACCGCCAATCTCCTTTCTGTTTCTATGTATTTTCCTATTCTGGATATTTCATATAATATGTGGTCATATTGGATTAGAATCACGCAATATTTAGTCTACTGTGAATTGCTTCTTTCACATTTCATTTTATCCTAAGGCTCATCCATATTGTAGTATGTATCAGTACTTCATAACTTTTTGGTGCTGAATAATAGTCCATTGTATGTATTGCACCTGGGTGGCTCAGTCAGTTAAGCAGCTGCCTTAAGCTCAGGTCATGATACCAGGGTCCTGGGTTCAAGCCCCACATCAGGCTCCCTACTCAGCAAGGAGCCTGCTTCTCCCTCTCCCTTTGCCACTCCTCATGCTTTTGCTCTCTCACTCTCTGTCAAATAAATGAATCTTAAAAGAAAAACCCATCCCTCCTTTAGCCACCCTCCCACCTGCAACCCTCTATTTGTTCTCTAAAAAAAAAAAAAAAAAATTATCTTAAAATAAAACTATGGGGAGGCCTGGGTGGCTCAGGAGCCTTCGGCTCAGGGAGTGATCCCGGGATCCAGGTTTGAGTCTCGTGTCAGGCTCCTTGCAGGAGGCCTGCTTCTCCCTCTGCCTCTGTGTGTGTGTCATGAATAAATAAACATCTTTAAAAAATAAAACTATTATATCATTCTTTAAAAAAATAATCAGTTTTATTTGCCATTAATCAGTTTATGATCATTTGGGTTACCTTTTGGCTATTCTGAATAATGCTTCTATATAAATATTTGTGTACAACTTTCTGTGAAGGTATATGAAAAATTTCCATTTTTCTTGGATATATACCTAGAAGTAGGTTGCTAGCTCACATGGCAACTCTATGTAAAACTGCCAGGCTGTTTTTTGCAGTGGTTGCACAATTTTATATTCCCACCAAAAGTGTATGAGGATTTGAATTTCTCCATATTTCCCCCAAGACTTTTTATTTTTCATCTTTCACTTTATTTATGGTATCCTTTTAAACAAAATGTTTTTGATTTGATGATGCTCAGTTTATTGAGTTTTCTTTTGTGGCTTGTTTTTGGCGTTATATCTAAGAGACCATTACTTAATTTAAGGTAATGAAGATTTTCACGTATGGTTTCTTTGAAGAGCTTTATATTTTTATCTAAGATTAGGTCTTTGATCCAGTTCGAATTAATTGTTATATCCTGTGTGAAGTAAGGGTCCAATTTCATTCTTTTGCATGCGCATATCCACTCATCCCTGTATCAGTTGTCAAAAGACAATTCTTGTCCCCACTGAATGGTCTTGGCACCCTTGCTAAATATTGACTCTTGTGAAAATTAATAAATGGAAACTTTGTTGAGAATAGAGTCAGGAGACCATTCGGGGGTAGTTCTCAAACTTTACCACTTGATGATTACAAATCCAACAGGAAGAGACAGATTTGCACGTGGATACACTTTACTATCCCAGTAAGAGGAAGAAGGGTGTTCCTCATCCCCTGGCAACAGCCCAGCCAATAAGAGGCTGTCACCGCCCCACCAATGGAGAGCCACTGCACTTCAAACTCCCAGTTTATTTCAATGGACTTTTGTTTATAACTGCTTTCCCAGCATCCCCCTTTCTTGTGTAAGAGCGGTTCTCCCCTTTGTTCCGTGGACTTGCCTGTAGTTCTGCTTCAGCTTGCTTGTTTCAGATGGCAATTCTGTATCCCCAAATAAATCCATTTCTGCTGGTAAAATAACAGGCAGTTTAATTTTTTTTAAGGCTAACACCCTAAATGTGAAGGTTTATTTATGTACTCTTGATTTTATTCCAAGAGTTGAAAAATTTAACTCCTTTCTGTGTGTCAGCCACAATCCTAATCACAAATTCACTTCTCATAGTACTGTTCTTACTCCCATTTTACCAGCGAAGTAGCCAAGATACAGAGTGATTTACCCAAGACAATACAACTAGTTAGGTGGCAGAGCCGGAACGTGAACTTAGGGTGACTGAAAGACTGAGCCTTTAATCATGCTGTAAATAAATGTGTGAAATTAGAACTTAGAATTCCAATGGGGGCAGCCCGGGTTGCCCAGCGGTTAGCGCCACCTTCAGCCCAGAGCCTGATCCTGGAGACACGGAATCGAGTCCCACGTCGGGCTCCCTGCACGGAGCCTGCTTCTCCCTCTGCCTGTGTCTCTGCCTCTCTCTCTCATGAATAAATAAATAAAATCTAAAAAATAAAAAAAAAGAATTCCAATGAAGAGTTCATTTTTTTTATTTATTTATTTTTTTTTAATTTTTTTTTTTAGTTTATTTATGATAGTCACAGAGAGAGAGGCAGAGACACAGGCAGAGGGAGAAGCAGGCTCCATGCACCGGGAGCCCGACGTGGGATTCGATCCCTGGTCTCCAGGATCGCGCCCTGGGCCAAAGGCAGGCGCCAAACCACTGCGCCACCCAGGGATCCCGAAGAGTTCATGTTTCAAAAAAACCAGGTGGAGGTCGAAGTGGCCAGTAAGTTTGGAAGAGAAATAACAGAGTAGGGGCTTTACTAGCTTGCTTCTTACTGATTTTTAGAAACGGACCTGCCTGCCTTGGTTGAAACCTCCCCAATTCCAACTTAAGAGTTTCTGTCTGCGCGCTAGGCTGGCTTCTCCGCAGCGAGGGCAGCGCAGAGCTGGGGTCGCCCTCCCCGCCCGCAGCTAGCGCAGCAGACCGCGCTCTACCCCGCCGCCAGGCCCCACCCCTGCTGCCCAGAGCCCAGGAATGGGCGGAGCCTGCGCTCAGGGCGGTAGGCCGTCGGCGATGCCGTAACTCTCGCGGGAAGATACGTTCGTTGCCTTGGTAACAGCGTCGCGGTCGCCGAAGATGGCGGGGCGAAGTGTTGGTTCCCAGGTTAGTTCAGACCGACCCCCGGGGAGCTAACTACTAGCTTCTCAGCCGGCCGGAGAACACGGAACCTAATTTAACTTTGGGTCTGAACGTCTCTTTCTCTTTTACAGAGACGGAGCGTTTCAGGCACTCCGCTCCCGCCGCGTGGTCAGCAACCTGCTGCGTCTCGACGGGACCTCTTTGCCAGGGAGGAAGAATATAAGTAAGAGATTAGGCCGTTCCGTTTTTCCTTCTTTCTTTTATTACCCAGAGGAGGTTGCTCGCAAGTGCTTTCCTGGTGACTGACTGGGTCTTTGGGATCACTCCCTGCTCACCCTTCTCTTTTCATCATCCGGTTCGCTGGTCTTCATCTTTTCTTCCCCTGCGCCTGAGCTGTTGGGAAGGAGCGAACATTTATTTTGCTCAAGTAAACGTGCCCATCCGCAAAGTGATAACTGCTAGAGGTGATTTGGAAAGCAGGCGTTGCCAAAAGTTCAGTTTCTAGTTTAAGAAAACCCACTTAATTTGGAGCTCCTAGAGTTTAATTTCGTGGATTTCTTTAAGGCTTGGTTTCTCTCTCAGTGGTGCGGTTGGAACCCTCGTTCTCATCTACATTTGGCGGAGTTGGGAGGAGGATGTCCTTCCCTCTTTCTGCTCTCAGCGTAATTACGCCTACTCTGACCACACGTGCTTTTTTCATTCTTGGACCATTTCACACAGAAGCCGGGGCTAAATCATTTAATTTGATCCTGTCAGTGCCTTGCCTCGAACGTTGCAGTGGTTGCCGGGTGTACTTTAGAAACTGTCACATCTAGCTTCTGTCCCTTGTTTGATTTAGTGCCCTCCCTTTTTTTTTTTTTTGCCTACCAGTCTCCAGCCTCCCTGGCCTTTAAGTTACTCAGAGCTCTTCCCTTGAGGGCAGTCACACACATGCCTTACACCTGGACAGCTAACCTGGTGTTCCTGATTATGTTAAGCTTCCCAGTGACTCTTTGTCTGTTTCCTCCACTGGTCAGTAAATCCTTTAAAGTCAGAGACCAGGTCTCTGGTCATCGTATATGCCCATACAAAATTATATTTTAACAACTCATTTTCTTTACCATTTACCTAATTTAAAGTTCGGGAAACATTATAGCACTGCTTCAGATGGTTAAACATAGAGTTACCATATGATTTGTACTTAGATTCTCTGACTAGTTTATTTATTTATTCTTTTTGAAAAAGGTTTCATTTACTTATTTGAGACAGAGAGTGCAGGAGGGCGCACAGAGGAAGAGGGAGAAGCAGGGAGAGCCTGAGCAGAGAGAGAGCCTGAGTTGAGAGCCTGAGCAGAGCTCTATTCCAGGACCCTGGGATGATGACAGGAGACAAAGGCAGACATCCAACCAACTGAGCCACCAAGGCACCTTTCCTTTTTTTTTTTTTTTTAATTCAAGTTAGTTAACATATTGTGTAGTATTGATTTCAGGAGTAGAATTTAGTGATTCATCACTTACATATAACACCCAATGCTCATCCCAACAAGCGCCCTCCTAACGTCCATCACCCACCTACCTGGTATTCCCCTCCCCCCTCCTCCCAGCAGCCCTCAGTTTTTTTCTCTCTATATAAGAGTCTTTTATGGTTTGCTTTTCTGTTTTTATCTTGTTTTATAAAATTAAAGCATACTTAAAGTTAAAATGGAACTGTACTATCTTCTGATGAACTAGACGGTTTATTTAATTTGCCATAGCATTCTCCTCTGTTTAATGAAATGGGCCTATTAATCCAGTTCAAGACTGTACCTAAGCAACTGATCTTGCACAGGTCTGAATCAGCTGTGCTCAACCCCAAATGGTTATTTCATTACCATATACAGATAGCACCAAACACCTTCATTGATTAGGATAATATAGTTACTTAATTAAGGGTCTGTTTTGCACCTGGCACTGATGTGTTGTAATGGTCCTGCTTGAAATCTTAAAAATGTCTACAGGAGGGACTCCTCGGTGGCTCAGCGGTTTAGCACCACCTTCAGCCCAGGGTGTGATCCTGGAGTCCTTGGATCAAGTCCCACATCGGGCTCCCTGCATGGAGCCTGCTTCTCCCTCTGCCTTATCTCTGCCTCTCTCTCTCTGTGTGTGTCTCTCATGAATAAATAAAAAATCTTAAAAAAAAAAGATATCTACAAGAGCTATTCTATTTCAGCAGAAGTCATTTTGTGGCAAATGTGGCCAGTTACTCGTTCTGGTTTTTTTTTTTTTTTTTTTTAAGATTTTGTTTATTCATGGGAGACAGAGAGAGAGAGAGAGAGAGAGAGAGGCAGAGACACAGGCAGAGGGAGAAGCAGGCTCCATGCAGGGAGCCTGATGTGGGACTCCATCCCGGGTCTCCAGGATCACACCCTGAGCCAGGGCAGGCACCAAACCGCTGAGCCACCCAGGGATCCCCTTGTTCTGTTTATTTACTCAGGTGTGCAGCTCTGAGACATATCCATATAGAGTAGCTCCCAGGCTCAGCCTGAGGCTATAAATTACTTCTGTACTAGATTATCTCTGTGCCATGCAGAAGAGTAAAAAGACCATTCTTGTAGAGAAGAATATGAGTTAATAACAGTATTATGCCACATATTCTTGATATTAAGCATATTTGGGATGTTTTCAATCAGCAGAACACATCACTTCATGGGGATCCCAATGCAAAATCTTCTATAATCAGCTGCTGTTGAATATTTGGAGGAAATAATCACTGTCTGAGAGGATAGACTACAGAATATGCTGGTGGCTCAAGTCAGTAGATTTTTACATTTCGTGCCTATGTTATAAAACCAGAAAACTCAACAGTAAGATTACGTGACATCTGTTTTAATGATCTTGATAGCTGGTAGGGCAAGTCCTATCTCTCCCCACACCCCATGCCTATAAATGCCAATTACATTGGATTTATAGATTATTTTGCAGAACCCTGGCATCTTTATGCTATTGAATCTTTCCTGCCATAAATATGATACATTTCCATTTACACAGGGGTGGGTTTTTTTTTGTTGTTTCCTTTAATATCTTATATTACCACGTTAAACTCTCACATACATAATCTGTTTCAAAGTGTCTTACGGTTTTTGTGGCTGTAATGAATGGCTTTTTTTTTTTTCCCTTAAATGTGGAATCTAACTTGGGGCTTGAACTCAGGACCCTGAAATCAAAATTTGAGCTGAGATCAAGAGTCAGACACTCAACTGACTGAGCCACCCAGGTGCCCCAAGAGTTATATGCTCCATCAACTGAGCCAGCGAGGTGCCCCACCTTGCATTTTTTATAATGACAGTTATATCATATGCAAATTATGATAGTGTTGTCTCTTCACAGTTTCCCACGCATCTTTTTTTCTCAATTTGGTTAGGACCTCCATTACAGTGTGAAATAGAAAAAGTGGTGGTGGGCATCCTTATCTTGGTTATGATTTTAAGGAGCCCACTTAATTTATCACTATATTTGAAATTTGATGTGGTTTGGTAGATTCTTTTAATCAGGTTAAAGGACATTGCTTCCTTTAGTTCCTATTTTGAATGAATGTTAAATCTTTTCAAAACTTTTTTTTCCCCAGTTTAGATGATTAAATGTCCTGTCCTAAATGCTTGCACACACACACGCATTTAATGTTTTAACATACTGAACTACCAAGCAGATTTTTTATTTTCCTCTGAAGACTGCTGGATTTGATTGCTATAACTTTATGTAAATTTTTTGCATCTTTGAACTGAACTCTTATACTTCTTTCTAGTTCCTTTCCTTTCTGATTCAATATCAGTATTATCCTAGCCACATGAAATAACTCAGTAGTTTTCCTTATGTTTTTTCCTGTTCTTGAGAGCCTTTTTGTAATCAGAGATCATCTATCCTTCAGTTAAAATTGTGAAATTGAGTATCATGTACCTTTTTATGTAATCTTTTTGCCTATCAATTCAGTTTCATTGATGATTATTCATTTATTTAGATGTACAAGTGCTTCCAGAATAAATTTTGGTTATTTAATGGTTTTCTAGAAAAGTCTCCACTTCATGTGTGTTTTAAAAAGTAATAGCATTGGGATCCCTGGGTGGCTCAGTGGTTTGGAGCCTGCCTTCCGCCCGGGGTGTGATCCTGGGGTCACAGGATCGAGTCCCACGTTGGGCTCCCTGCATGGAGCCTGTTTCTCCCTCTGCCTCCCTCTCTCCCTCTCTCTCTCTCTCTCTCTCTCTCATGCATAAATAAATAAAATCTTTTTTTAAAAAAGTAATAGTATAAATATACTCTGTGTATTTTTTTATTTTAATAGCCCACGTTGGGCTCCCTGCATGGAGCCTGCTTCTCCCTCTGCATCTCTCTCTCTCTCTGTCTCTCATGCATAAATAAATAAAATCTTTTTTAAAGTAATAGTATAAATATACTCTGTGTATCTTTTTATTTTAATAGTTAATTATGTTTTAAAATTCCAGTATAGTTAGCATAGTGTTATATTCATTTCAGGTGTACAATAGAATGATTCAGCTTTTCCATACATTCCCTGTTGCTCATCACAACAGTGCCATCCTTAATCCCCATCACCCTATTTAACCCATCCCCCACCCACCTCCTCTCTGGTAACCATCAGTTCTCTGTAATTAAGAAACTGTTTCTTGCTTTATCTCTCCCCTTTCTTTTCCTCCTTTGCTTGTTTGTTTTGTTTCTTAAATTCCACATGAGTGAAATGTGGTATTTGTCTTTCTCTTGACTTACTTTGCTTAGCAAAATACTGACTAGTTCCATCCATGCAAATGGCAAGATTTCATTCTTGGTTTATGGCTGAATAATATTCCATTGTGTGTATGTGTGTTTGTCTTTTTATCAATCTTGCTGGGAGGTTTTTCTGTTTTATTGGTCTTTTCAGAGAACTAGCTTTTGATTTTGTTGCTAATCCATGTTATTTTTTTATTTCATTGGTCTTTATTCTAGCTCTTCTGATTATGGTGGATTTATTTATTTATTTTTTAACTTTTTAGTTTATATTTAGCTTACTTTTTAAATTTTACTTGTTTTTTAGTTTTTTCTTTTTAATAAATACATTTAATTTTTCTAGATTTCTCTCTACAGCTTATTTCAGGAGCTGTTTTGACATGTATTTCTTTTGTGATTATTTAGTTTTAAATATTTTGTGATTTTTTTTTTTTTTAGTGGTTATTTAGGAGTTCCCAAAAATATAGGGTGTTTGTTTTATTTTTGTTATTTTAAAATTTATTTAAATTTTTAAATTTTTTAAAATTTTATTTTTTTAAAGATTGTATTTATTTATTCATGGAGATACAGGGAGAGAGAGAGAGAGAGAGAGAGAGAGAGAGGGAGAGTCAGAGACACAGGCAGAGGGAGAAGCAGGCTCCATGCAGGGAGCCCAACGTGGAACTGGAGCCCAACGTGGAACTCGATCCCAGGATCACGCCCTGGGCTGAGGGCAGGCCCTAAACTGCTAAGCCACCAGGGCTGCCCTAAAATTTATTTTTAATTGTACTATAGTTAGAGAATTATATATTATTTTTTTAAAAACTAAATTTGTGAGCAGGTACATACTCAATTTTTGTAAATGTTCAGGTATTCTTTGATAGGATATTTACTATTTGTTGACTAATCTCTTAGTTTAAGCTAATTAATTTGGCTGTCCATAACATCAGTATCCCCACTATTTTTTCTCCCTGCTACTTCTGTTGGTTCCTGTTAGATGTGTATTAAAATGAACTATAGTTCTTCTTATAATTATGTCCATTTTTGCTTGGATGCTATATTATTTGATTTACTTAAATCTTCTAGATGAATTCTTTTCATTATTATTCAGTGCTATTTTTATTTATTTTCAAGCTTCTTATGTCCTTTAGTTTAAAAACATTCTTTTTATATACTGCCTAATCATTTCTGCCTTCTGATGAGTGAGTTTATTTACATTAATGGGCTTACTAATTTGAAGTTGTTTGAGCCATCTTATTTTTTGTATTTTCTATTTACTATCCCTTTTCTTTGTTCTTTTGTCTTCTGTTGGATTGAAGGAATTTTTGTTATGTCTTTATTTTTCTGGTTTGGGAAGACCTTAAAATGCTTTAAAGTTTTGTTTGGTTTTTAAAAAAGATTTATTTATTTATTCATGAGAGGCCCAGAAGAGGAGAGGCAGAGGCATAGGCAGGAAGAGAAGTTGGTGCCTCTCAGGGAGCCTGATAGGGAACTTGATCCCAGGATCACACCTGAGCGGAAGGCAGGTGCCTAACCTTAAAGTGCTTTAACTTGGTTTTTCCATCCGTTAAGTTAGATAATACTTTACTTCCTCTTTGTTTTGAATACTCCTACTCTTCAGGTTATCATTGATGTTATTTTTATATTCTGTACTAATTTAGATTTATCATTATGATTCCTAATGTTTTTTCTTATCATAATTTTCTTTTTAAGAGTCAGCTTCCTACTTCCTGAAGTGTAGACCCTTCACTATTTCTTTTTTTTTCAAATATTTTATTTATTTATTCATAGAGACACAGAGAGAGAGAGAGGCAGAGACACAGGCAGAGGGAGAAGCAGGCTCCATGCAGAAAGTCTGACGTGGGACTCAATCCAGGGTCTCCAGGATCACGCCCTGGGCTGCAGGCGGCGCTAAACCGCTGCGCCACCGGGGCTGCCCCCCTTCATTATTTCTGAGTCTCATCTTTTCTGAATATTTTGTTACATTTATTCTTCGATGACAATTTAGCTGCATATAGAATTCTAAGTGGTCCGTTTTCTTCCTCTTCATTAAAGATAACACTTCATTGTCCTTTGGAATCTAGAATGTTGAAAAGCCATCTTAGCTTTTTAGAGCATCATGCTAGTAGTCTATTTTTCTTGGTTCTTTTCAAATAATCCTTGGTAATCTAAATGTTATTTTTGTCTCTAAAGTTCTGCAATTTTATTATGATGTATACAGGTGTGGGCTTTTTTTTTTTTTCTGTTTTTTAAGATTTTAAGTAATCTCTACACCCAATGTGGGGCTCAAACCCACAGCCCCGATTTCAAGAATCACATGTTCTACCAACTGTGCCAGCCAGGCACCCCTGTTTTCTTAATTCTAATTGAGATCCATGTCTTTTTTCAATTCTGGAAAATTCTCAGTATTCAAATATTGACGTTTTGTCCTTCCCTGGGATTTCCTTCTGCAACTTCTTTTGGGTAAATAGACCTCTGTCTTTGTCCTACAGTCTTTCAATGTATGTGAGCCTCTCTTTTGTGTTTTTATCTTTTTGTTTCTCTGTATTTCCTTTTAGGTGAATTTTCTCATATCTGTCTTCTCATTCATTTCCTCTTCAATTCATTCTATTGTTCAGTGTAGCCATTGAGGTTGAGTTTTTAAGTGCAATGTCTGTGTTTTTCATTTATGTAATTTCTATTTGGTTCTTTTCTAAATTCAGTGTTCTTTTGTAATAAATACTTGTTCTTGCCTAACGGTTTCTATTCCTGCTTTCGGGGTAGTGGGCAAATGAAAAATGCTGATTTAAAAATCTTTTTAAAATAGATTTTAGATTTAGGTAATCTAGTTATGATAGAAATTGTGTCATGTCTGCTGATTGTCTTGGCAATTTTTTTCTTGATGCACTTATGTTGGTGAAGTCATTTTTAGCAAGGTTTGCTTTCTGAGAGAGTTTCATATATTCTAGATAAGTAAATGTCCTTCTAGGTTGACTTCATGTTTACTTTTCCTAGCTTATCAGAGTTTTCACTGGTTTTGGTGCAGCTTTCTTTCTTTCTTTTTTTCTTTTTTTTGGTGCAGCTTTCTATAGTAAAATTTGGCATACGGTCCCTGTACCATCTGGGTAAGATGAATTTGCTGTGATTACTCACAAGAGAATTTTTTCCACCCATGGCTCCAGTTTCATTTCTGTTCATCTAAGGTTATGGGTAGTGTTTTTGTAGTCTGTTTCACAGGTGTAGCCCTTCGTGACTCCCACACATGCATCAATTTTTAGCTGTTAGACTGTTTTGGCTTCTGTTCCTGTTTACTGCTCTCACTTTGAGTTGCTGCTTTATTTTTAGTGCCAGGGTATTTCCCTTGCCTGAGTTGGAGCTTAGCGATATTTCCTTCATTGCATTTTATCCAACATGTCCATTGGTTTGGAGCAGAATAGAGTTCTGAGTCATCTCAGAACACTATATTGACCAGAAGCTTCTATTTAAGCTCTCAGGATTCTTGTTAAGGAAATATGAGAAATCAAATAATGGTATCTTAAATACAACTCTAAGTCTTTATTAGATATTTTTCTTTTGATTAACTTATCCTAAGATATAAAAATATTTCTTAAAACATTAGACTGTTTTAAGAAGAGATAGAGCATTATTTTTTTTTTTCTGGAAGTGGGGATTGTTGGTGATCTTTATTACTTCTGAATCACATATCTAAGACAAAAAAGATATCTCATTTTAAAAATTGCTCAACATATTCCCTTCATAAGAGCCTAGATGGTCTGGAAATGTGAGCTATGAATAAAATAAAATTTTAAAGTTATATTCTTTTGAAGCTGTTTATTGTAGTGTTAACCTTTAAAAGTGAAAAAGGGACTTTAATAGTAGGAACAGTTCAGTATATCATGTTAAGTGCAACTCATTACAATATTGTGTAGCCATTTAAGGCATGAATTATAGAGATTATGTAGAGTTAAACATATTCCTTTTATGTATTTATGGGGAAACTATATAATTGTGTATATAAGTGAAACTTAGAAGGGAATATGAAAAATAGAAACAATTGGATGATGGTGGTAGGATTATGAGCATTTTGTCTTTAAAAATGGTTTCCTTCAGTGATATTGCCATTCTTCCATTCTAACTGAGGCCAAATAATATTCCTGTTCTTTGCTAGATTCCAAATAGATTGAAGGTGGGGAAAGGAGTGGCAGGTAGAGGTCAAAACAAGCACCTTTGTTTCTGAAGCTGATACTGAAGTGTGGAGCTAAGATGTGAGCCATATTAGGCCTACTCACTAAACCCCAGATTTATCTCCCCGGTTGCAGCAACACCCCAGACCAAAGCAGGCCTCTCCCCTCCCATGCCCCACTCCTGCCCCCATTTGGAATTGATTCCAAGAAGATGGAGATTGGAACTGAGTTGAACCCACCCAATTTATCCTACCCAAATAAGTCATTACACCTTAAGTGAGGCCCAGAGAGAGGCCAGGAGTTATTGTTTGAATTTCTACCACAAAAGATGAGGAATCATGAAAAGTTGGAGGTAAGTGTTCCAATAGTAATGGTAATTTTAGAATAAAAATGTCGTGTATGTTTTGACATTCTTCATTGGCTAAAGTGTAGTTACTGAAATTTAATTTTATTTTTGTTAGAATCTTCAGTATTTCCCAAATGTTAAATTATTTTTGGCTTTTTAGGCGTTTAAATGCAGAATTACAGGCAAAAACAGCGGATTTGGTTCGACAGGCTGAGGAAGTAATAGTAAGTGAATATGCAGTTATTATTAATTTCATGTGAGTGCTTGTTTTTTTAACTTTCTTAAGTGCCCAAAGCATAAGTTTGTAGCTCAATGAATTATCACAGATTAAACATGAATATATGAATAGGTATATATTTTTATGCATGTATATGTTTTTGATAGGCACACATTTCCTAAAAGCCACTGAAAAAGCTTTTTCCACTTAGATGTTCCAATCATATAATTATTAAGAACATTAATATTTAATAATCTTTCCCAGTACTTTAATATTTGAGAGTAGATGTATAGAACGAATGCTGGTAATTCAGAAATAAAATGGGCTCAGGATAAAAGTTGAATAAAAGATAATCATTACTCATACTCAGATAATTTGTTTCTTCTGCATTTGAAAGTAATTCAAATTCTTAGGGCTAGACTAGTAAGATTTATAGTTAGAAAAAAATGTAGTAAAGTTATATCACTAGATAATGTAAGCGTATTTTGCCCCATTCTGGCTATCAAATTGGTTATTCCTACTTTAAGCAGCTTTTTAAGCATTAACATTCCCATTTATTGATAGGATATAGTAGTATTCCTTAGACCAGTAAAATAGCTGATTTCAGACTTTTTTCAATTTTTACTCTATACTTTTTTCTTTTAAATTCTCCCATCCCCCTTGGGGATAGTAGTGAAGAATAGGCAATAATTTGTTTTAATGCCTTATACAGATTCATTATTATTTGTCAGATTTGGAATAAGTTATATATATATATAAAACTTTACTCATTTAACTAGAGAGATCAGCAAGAAGTACAATCAAGGCCGGTTTCAACACAAATTAAATCATATGAAAAGGAAGAGGATTACAGCTTAAGGTAAGTAACTTAAATTCTCAAACATCATTTTTTTGATGATATATGTAGATCTTTTATTAAAAATCTTTTTGCATGTAAGTATTGGAAATCTATAATTTGAAGAATAATATATACTCATAAAATCGGGGCTTTTCTTTTTTTTTTTTTAAGATTTTTATCTATTTATTCATGAGAGAGACAGAGAGAGAGAGAGAGAGGCAGAGACACAGGCAGAGGGAGAAGCAGGCTCCAGTCAAGGAGCCCGATGTGGGACTTGATCCCGGAACTCTGGGACCACACCCTAAGCCAGAGCAGATGTTCAACCGCGCAGCCACCCAGACATCCCAAAATTGGGGCTTATACCAGCCAGACACAATGTAAACCCTTTACCTACTTTATGTCATTTAGTTCTCAAAGTATTATTTTGAAATAAATATTATGTCTTCATTTTAAAAATAAGGAAATTGGAGCTTAGCAAAGTTCAGTAGCTTGCCCAAGGATATATAGATAATATGTGATTTCACTGAGATGCAAACCACAGTTGGTAAGATTTCTGAGCCTGTTCTTACATGTTATACTACCTTTTAAAATTGCATATGTAAGTTAGATAAAAATAAATTAGTAAAAATACAATACAATATATTAGATCTTTCTTCCTTGAGTTTCATGTGCACTTCAGGTATGTCAAAAAAAAAAAAAAAAAAACAGGGAACCAAAAGTATTTAGGAATAAACTTAACAGGAAACATAAAAGATCTGTATGAATAAAACTGTAAAATCTTATAGCAGAGGCATTGGTGATCACCCAGTGTTCTAAGTCTCTTGCTATAAGCAGAAATCAGATTATTCTCTTCCAAGCCAACAGATATGAGCTCTTTTTTGAACTCCAGTTGGCTCTCTGCCATTATCAGTGACAATCCAGTTGATTAAACCTCCCACCTGGTCTCTGGGTGACTATGTGGAACATATGGGGGGAAAAGGGCCTTCTGTCCTTCTCTATTGCTACCTTGTGTTTAGCCAATGAAATTTTGTGGTTAATGTCCTAGCTTATCCTAACTAATACAGCAATTGGTATTGAGAATCAGGTGTCCTATGACAAAAACTTGGAAAGTGTTGCTTAGCTTCATAGTTAAGTGGTAGCAAGGAAACTAATCCTGGAGGCTGGAAAGAGAGAGAAGTACTATTAATACAGTCGCAATGGATTTAGTAAAACTGCCACCTTTGGTAAATTGGAAGCCAGAACAGGTGTCAAATGAACTTGTGCGCTGGGGGGAGAGGTTTCCGCACTGAATGGTCTTGGCAGTTTTGTCAAAAATCAGCTGACCAGAGACACGTGGCTTTATTTTTGGACTCTCATTTCTATTCCATTGATCTACAGATCTGTTCTTATGGCAGTACCGCACTGTCTTGGTTACAGTTAGGGTTAGGTTTGTAGGGTGAGCTGCTTTTAGACCAAAAAAAATATGAGATAAAATTAAGAGAATCTTTGAGGAACAAAAGCCTTTCAAAGCTCAACCTTGATGCAAAGATCAAACTAAAGATGTGGTCTTCATACTATTTGATAAAACTTTATAATGGATTAAGTTTCTTCTGGGCAAGGATCATTTTGAATGGCACCTAGTGAAACTTTCCTTGGATAAAATGTGTTAGGGCAAAGCTCTAACTAAAGGTATAGCTTCCTCATAGAAGCCTGACAACCTCAAAGTAAGCCATTTTTAAAGTTGGGGAGAGGTAGAAGGAGGGTGAGGTGTTCAGTATAAAGAAATAGTCTTGGAAGAAAATGTGGATGTGGTAATGGCATATGGAACTGACTGGAATCAAATAGATATGAAATCCACTAGTTTTGGGGGTGTTATACAGGCTAAGAACCTTTGAGTGGTAGACTACAACTGTTTCTGCTTAAATCTCAAAACAGCTATAGATCCTCCCAGTCTTCTAAGATGAAGAAACAGGCTATGAGAGCAGCAGGGCCCTAACAGGGTATTATGTTTAAATACCTTAGAGGGCTTAGAAACAAAAAAGAAATGTTTTACTTAAGCAACAGTGTATTTGGCTTGTACTTGAAATATTGGGCATTATTCATTTACTCGAAAATACTGCATATGATCCAGCAATTCACCTTTAGCTATTTACCCAATAGAAATGAAGACATGTGCCCAAATGAAAACCTGTATGCAGATATTTATAGCACTTTTATTCATAACTGCCAAAAACTGGGAACAACTCAAATATCAAGTGGTGACAGATAGGATAAGTGGATTATGGTATATCCATGCAATGGAATAGTACTGGCAGTAAAAGGCAAGGAACTATTGACGCGGCAACAACATGGAAGCTAAGTGAAAGAAGCCAAATTAAAGCGTATTAGCAATAAATAAATAAATAAATAAATAAATAAATAAATAAATAAAGCGTATTAGTATACTGTATGATTTCATTTTCTTGAGTTTATTTAAATTCCAGTTAACATACAGTGTAATATTAATTTCAGGTGTAGAATTATTCATCACTTCTGTACATCACTCAATCCTCATCACAAGTACCTTCCTTAATACCCATAACCCATTTAGCTCATCCCCCTGCCTAATTCCTCTCCAGTAATCATCAGTTTGTTTTCTAGAGTTAAGTCTGTTTTATGGTTTGTCTCCCCTCCCCCATGTTCTATTTATTTAACATTATTGGAAAGGTAAAGTTATAGGGACAGAATCTGATTAGTGGTTGTGTGCAGTGGAGGGGAGGGATTTAACTACAAAGGGTATAAGGGAACTTTTGGGGACGATGGAAATATTCTTTATCTTGGTTGTTGTGGTTACATGTCAGTAGAATCTGTTAAAATTTATAGAACTGTAGAGGCTCCTGGGTGGCTCATTTGGTTGAGTGTCCAACTCTTGGTTTCTGCTCAGTCATAATCTCATAGGTTATGGGATTGAGCCTCATGTCAGGCTCCTTGCTCAGCAGGGAATCTGCTTGAAAGATTCTCTCCCTCAGCCTAGTCACCCCGTGCTTGCTCGCTCGCTCACTTGCTCTCTCTCTCTCTCAAAATGAATAAATCTTTTAAAATATATAGAACTGTGTACCTAAAAAGTATATTTAAAATTTTTAATCTTTATTTGATATACACACATGAAAATACTTATCCTTATTTTTTTTTAATATTTTATTTATTTATTCATGAGAGACACAGAGAGAGAGGCAGAGACACAGGCAGAGGGAGAAGCAGGCTCCATGCAGGGAACCCGACGTGGGACTTGATCCCGGATCTCCAGGATCAGGCCCTGGGCTGAAGGCGGCGCTAAACCGCTGAGCCACCTGGGCTGCCCCTTATCCTTATTATATGTAGTACTTCCTGATATTTTATGGGAAATGATGTTTAGCAGTTATCAAAATTCCAAAATTTGGATTACAAAGATTAGGCACAACTTTTATCAAGTAAACTGAAAGACTAGAATGATGGGAACAACAGCTAATCCCTAGTTTCTGTTGCTTCGAGTGAGAGACTTCACAAGCATAAAAATAAATTTGTTGGTTTCCTTGCACTGAATTTTCCTTAAGTGCAAAGTGGTGATGACACCTGTGTTTACCTTGACCAGGTGGCTTTTTTTTTTTTTTAAACTACTGTTTGAACAAATGGCTTTTACCAGGTAAAACATGCTGCTTGACTATTGCAAATTGCTAAAGATGCGAGATAATTCTGTAAAGAGACAATCCATTTTAGCTTGGAACCATCATTCACCTAAATGCTGGTCGTCAGGCAGTATGTAATAGGTCTTTAACATCCAAGGTTTCTCTGCCAAACAATATGGTCGGGAAACCAGAATTTCATTTAAGAAATATCCTTCAGTCTCCTGGAAGCTGGGTTTAGCACACTAATAGTTTCAGTCTTACATACAAACCTTTCATGGAGAAGTGTAACAAAAATAACTAGGCTATTATATTTTAGTTCATTTTTTGTCAAAATACTACCAAAATAATGTCACTCTGCTAAACCTGAAGGAGACCAATAACTTGTAAATGTTTCTTGGCTGATACATATGTGTGTCAGTGGGAGGGGAGGTGGGAGATGCAGAAAATGTAAGGAGATGGCAAATATTAATTTGATAAAAAAGCCATTAAAGAGGACACTTAAAATTTGTATAAAACTTGGTAACATTTTAATGTTGTATATGAGAATGATTCTTTAGTCCCTGTAATTTTAAGGTATTTTGAAAGCTCCCTTTTTTCTTTCCAGAGCTGTTGCTCGTTCTTTAAGAGGTTGTATATAATATTATCTAAGTATATTTTTGCATTTAATATTGAAATAACTTATATATGACTAGACGAGTAGGTAGCATCTGATGGAAAGTAATTTTGTTTTTGTGTCCTTATTATGGTTATGAGTTCTCAGGGGATATGATGGAGTTTTTGTTTTGGTTTGTTTTTTAATAGCAACAATAGATAGTAACATGGTAGGTTTTTAAGAAGTATTAATACATGTAATGGGGCTGATCTAGACCATTGATCAGGGGTAGGCGAACTCTTCCTATAAAGAGGCAGATAATAAATATTTTTGTATTTGTGGGCTTTACAGTCTTTGTCATAACTACTCAACTTTGCTGTTGTGTGAAAACAGCCATGGATAATGTGTAAATGAATGGATGTGGGTGGATTCAACCCATGGGCCATAAAGTATAGACCCCATAAACACTCCGTGTTTTAAATAAAAACAGATTTTGAAAACTGTGCATAAAAATGAGTTGTAGGGATCCCTGGGTGGTGCAGCGGTTTGGCGCCTGCCTTTGGCTCAGGGCGCGATCCTGGAGACCCAGAATCGAGTCCCACATTGGGCTCCCGGTGCATGGAGCCTGCTTCTCCCTCTGCCTGTGTCTCTGCCTCTCTCTCTCTCTCTCTCTCTCTCTCTCTCTCTCTCTCTGTGACTATCATAAATAAATAAAAATTTAAAAAAAATAAAAATGAGTTGTATTTTAGATATATTTACTCATGCATTTAACAAATGCTTATTCAGTGACAGTTTAAGAGTTCATATGCTAGGTACTATGCCAAGTTATAGGTGTAGAGCAGTGAACAAAGCAGACATGATTCTTACCCTCATGGAGTTCACAGTATAGTGGGGAAAACAGACACTGACCAAGTATTTAAATACATTAACAAAGGATAACTGTGGGGGGGCTCACACTTAAAAAGCCTTGTGGTGAATCATTTTGTAAAATCAGTAATCCCTGTGTGTAACCAGTACTCCTTATGATTTTCATTTGTTAAAATTTGTGGTATACTTTATTAGAGATGTGGGTATTATAGTGTATCTTCTCAAAGGTGAATTACTGAACCAAAGAACTTTTCTTGTTTGTGACACTTATCAAAATAAATAAACATGTGCATAACTAGAATTATAGCAAAGTTTACTTGATAGTTGTCTATTTTCCCTTTCAGATATAATTACTGTTGGATTTTATTGTGTCTCAGCTTAGTATCATCTATTAATGTATAATGTTTACTTTTGGTCTGTAGCGGTCTGTTGTCTGAAGGGATAGCTCACCTACATTCAGAAACTAAGGTATGAAATCAAACTTTCTGTAAATGTGATTACTTTCTGCAGAATTTATGTTATTTTAGACTTATTAGAACAAAACAGGAGTATGACTATAGAATATAAGCCTTGATTCTTAGAAGAGATGCCTTCATGAAATGTTGTTCATAAAATAAGTTGAATCCTTTTTTGTTTCATAATTTCACTGACTACATATTGGAAAAAATTCTAAGTAAAATGAATTTGTAATCTAAGCATTTTTAATTTTCTTTCTGAAGTCCCAATTCACTAGATCTACCACCCAAAAAAGAAAAGTATCTATATATAAAGAAGGTAATTTGAAGGGTTTGTTAATTCATTTAAATATTTGCAGTGTATAGATCACTATTGCAGGTGCTGGGCAAATTGGGGTCTACAAGTTCTCCACCCACTGGGATTTAGACCAAGGGAACAGTATATGTGAAGGCCAGTCTGGGGAATAATCAGTGAAGTGAACTGAATTCTGTGAGTCAGAACATTAAGTTTAATGTTCTAGGAGCTAGCTGAATATCTTTGAATTTTAGGGGCTAATTTGCCTTATCTTTGAATCTGTTGGTGATAATAATACCTATATTTTATAGCTATACAATCTGGGATTCTTTAAAATACAAATTGATTAATTCAATAGAATTCTGTGTATTACAAAATTGCGTTCTATGGCAAATTATTAGAATCTAACCAATCAATAATTAAATTCTTTTGATGTAGCCAAAGACCAAAAATGTTGATGCAGTAAATAAGATTCAAAATAAACGACACTCTGCAAATAAAGGAAGGAGAGCAAATTCAAGGTACAGTTTTAACAGTATTACTTTCCTTTTTTAGTCTTATGATTGACAGTACCATCATTTTAATTATTTTTTTCTTTTTCATCATTTTAATTATAAAGCTCTGTTTCTCCAGATCTTTTTATACCTTACATTGTATATATCTTATCTACATTCAATAATTTTAAAACATGTTCTGCTCAGAAATGTCTTGCAGCAGTTACTAAGCATTTTATGTTCTTTTATTTTTTTTAATTTTTTAATTTTAATTTTAATTTTTATTTATTTATGATAGTCACACAGAGAGAGAGAGAGAGAGGCAGAGACACAGGCAGAGGGAGAAGCAGGCTCCATGCACTGGGAGCCCGACGTGGGATTCGATCCCGGGTCTCCAGGAACGCGCCCTGGGCCAAAGGCAGGCGCTAAACCTCTGCGCCACCCAGGGTTCCCTGTTCTTTTATTTTTTAAAGATTTTATTCATTTATTCATGAGAGACACAGAGACATACGCAGAGGGAAAAGCAGGCTCCATGCAGGGAGCCCAATGTGGGACTTGATCCCGGGACTCCAGGATCACACCCTGGGCTGAAGGCAGACGCTTGACTACTGAGCCACCCAGGCATCCCCATATTATGTTCTCTTAAGCAAAATCACCACATTTCAAATTTTTGTTAATGAGATATTTTCTTAGAACTAAGGCTCATCTACTTTTTTGAGCATTTAATAGAACTATACATTATTGTATATATTGACATACAGAGTGATTTGGTGTGCTCTAAGACTGTAGGATCACGGGATTCCTGGGTGGCGCAGCGGTTTAGTGCCTGCCTTTAGCCCAGGGCGCGATCCTGGAGACCCGGGATCGAATCCCACGTCAGGCTCCCAGTGCATGGGGCCTGCTTCTCCCTCTGCCTATGTCTCTGCCTCTCTCTCTCTCTGTCTCTCTCTCTCTCTCTCTGTGTGTGACTATCATAAATAAATAAAAATTAAAAAAAAAGACTGTAGGATCACTATAATTTGCATTCTATTTTTGGTGAAAAAGAATTCAAGACTGTTAGTATTTTAAGCTTGAAAAGGGGACTGAAGAGGCTCTCTAGGATAGGAGACCTAGAGAAGGAAAGTCACTCCTGCAACGGATTATACCAACCAACTTCTTTTTATTAAATGTCTTACTTACTCAGACTGATCGTTGCATTATAATCCTGGAAAAATATTTCTTAATGTTAGTGTCTTTTAATTGGCTAACTAGCTTTTTTGCTTTTGGAATAAAAGGAAAAATAGAGGATAATGAAGAGACAATAAATCTAAAATAGATTGATAGAAGAAAAGAGAACATATACTGCATACATTACTGGTTATCTTATTTTCAGGTGTCAGCATTACTTTTTAAAGAAAAGTTTATTTTTCTAAACAGAATTTTGAAGGTTTTGCTTGTTTGTTAAAAAGTAAGTTAGGCTTTAAGTAAAACGTTAAAAATAAGGCTTTCAGAACCATAAACTTGATGGGTTAGAGCTGGCCCATTCCTTAATGCCTTTACTAGTGATTTTTATTTCATATTTCTTCCCTTGTTAAGAAAATCAAATCTCATTTTTTTATTGACTTTGATTCTGGCGAGAATATGTTTCTTTAGATGGAAAAAAAGTTGATTTTGATTGATCTAATAATTGTTCATTCTGATTTTTTTCTATAGAGGTATTCTTTGTTTACAGAATTAGGGCTATAAGCAATATCACTTTATACAGTTCTTCCTCAGCAGCATGTAGTTTAAAAGCCACAGAATGAATGAAAAATAAAAAAATAAATAAATAAATAAAAACCGCAGAATGGATTTGATCTGGGAGGCACAACCCTCCTAGTTTTTATGTTTACTTGTTTGGAGGCAATGTCTAGAAGAACTGGCCTCGTAAGCCTTCTCTAGCTCTGAAGCTGTGTGATTCATAAAAATTGAAAGTCAACTAATTGTTTTTTTATAATATCATCCTTGGAAATATCAATTGTAGATTTCATCATAAATTTAAAATTAATAATTTTGATCTTTGTTATTTGAATAAAAAAGTCATGTCTCCTTTGCATATTAACATTGTATATATGAGTGTGTGTATATATATGTGTGTGTGTATGTTTATTTATGTATTCATTTATTTATAGTATAAAATTGAAATACCCTGATGTACATGTTGCCAATGATGTTGCTATTCCGGAAGATTTCTCAGACTTTTCTCTTGCAAAAACAATTAGCAAAATTGAAGGGCAACTGGAGGAAGAAGGCATACCTGATTATATAGATGATGATATTTTTTGTGGCGTTAGTAACGACATTGGAACGGGTAAGTTTTCTTTAATTTTTATCCTTGTATCACCATTACGTAGAAAAAGACATTTGGGAACTATTTTTTTTGTATTTAAAAAATGTATTGTGATATCTTGTGTTTGTTTCAAAATCATCTAGTGGGACATGGTAGGAGGAGTGAGTGGAATTATAGGTAAAATTGGTAATGAGTCAATAATTGTTGAAAATGGGTGATGGGAAGTCGTTTCTCATTGACCTCATCTCTCTACTTCTATGTATATTTGATATTTTCTGTTATAAAGAGTAAAAGATTATATTGGGGGGCACCTGGGTATCTCATTTGGTTAAGCATCTGACTCTTGATTTCTTCTCAGGTCATGATCTCGGGTTTGTGGGATTGAGCCCCATGTCAGGCTCTTCATTCATCAGGGAGTCTGCTTGAGGTTGTCTCCCTCTCCCTTTGCCTCTTCTCATCCCCACCACCCTCAAATAAATAAATAAATCTTAAAAAAAGAAGACTATATGGTACTGGTTTCATTGACCACTTTTCAACTAAGGTTAAAATGCCCCATAGCTTATCATTTTTGGGTGGGGATTTGCGGGCAAGGGGAGAGAGAGAGAGAGAGAGAGAATCTTAAGCAGGCCCAATGCAGGGCTCCACCTCACAACTGAAATCAAGAGTTGGATTCTTAACTGAGGCACCCAGGTACCCCACATTAAAATAACTTTTAAAACCCAATATTTGGTGCTTGGGTGGCTCAGCGGTTGAGTATCTGCCTTTGGCTCAGGCTGTGATCCTGGAGTCCTGAGATCAAGTCCCACATCAGGCTCCCCAAAGGGAGCCTGCTTCTCCCTCTGCCTGTGTCTCTGCTTCTCTCTGTGTCTCTCATGAGTAAATAAAATCTAAAAAAAAAAACAAAAACAAAAAAACCCAATATTTCTTTGAATTCCTTTCATTTATGAATACTGTATTCTACTTAGTGCAAGTTAAAAAAAATGAATTATTGATGTGGCATCAGTTAAAATAATCATTAATTTTCTAATGAATGTAATTTTCTTTCTTATAAATTCATTCTCTGCATATCACTTTGAAAAATAATAATACTAAGTTTAGATCATCTAAAAACAAAATTTAGTTACCAGTAATATCTCTAGAACTGTTGAATTTATGAGAAGCCACTTATGCTTTTGGAAATAAAGACTAAGACAATTGAGTGTATGTGACCATGGTTAATACTGAGCTATAATTGTGACTTCAGGCAAGCCAGTTAGCCTCTCTGTAATAGCATTTTCTTCATTTCAAAATTTAGCAGTTTGTATTAGATGGTCATAAGATTTATCTTTAAAATTCTCTTGATTCTGTGAAAACCATAACATATGGGTAATGATTATTGTGCTGCATGCTAGTCAGTCATAAATGAGCTATTCATTTGCGAATTTATTACCTTTACTGACTTATCAAAGCTTTCTGGGAGTACTCTTCAGAAGAGAAGGAAAGTGAAGCAGGAAGTTGCCTTTATGTCTCTGTCAAGATTCCTTCAAGGACACAGTGATCACATGTTGACTGTTCTTCAGTACATAGTCACCATGACCCTGGGACAATATTCTTGCTCTTAGATACACAGGACCAGTACAGACAGACCACCTGAAATTGCTATTTTCTTTTTATTGCTGAATCTCCTCTCTGCCACTTTGCCTCCCTGTCTTCTCTTCCCAGAATCTTTGGCTAAGCTATCCGCCCTTCTGGGGAGTTTTCTCTTGTTCCAGATGATTGCCTGAATGGCTGTTATGGGCAAGAGGAAAAGATGAAAAAGTAATTTAATAGTATATACTGCTTTTGTAAGACTATTCTTTCTCCTTTCTTTTTAGAGACGAGCTCCTGCAAACTTCACATTTTTAAATGTATCATTTCCCTTCTATACTGTGCTAACCTGGAGTGACATGAGAGGCTTGAAGGAGAGTTGAGGCTAGAGAGCTCTAGGTGAAGTAGAGCCAGTCATTGTTAATCAGCTCCATGGTAACACTGGGAGCATTTAATAAGAGCTTTGTAACAGGCAGTATGTATGGAGATGTTTTGTGCTCTGTTGGGATATATCCTAATGATTTCTCAGAGGCAACTCCAGGTGTTTATTCAAGATAAGATCCGTGAAGGCAAAGCTTGTCTTATCCCTACTATGCCTGGAACATTATAGAAACTTAATGTATATTTTTTGAATGAATGCTTGAATGAATTGTGGAGTGAGTTCTAAGTTCACTTTTCACTTTATTTTGTTATATAGTTAGAGAAACATCAAAGATTTACTGCTGATACTGTTGAATAAAGAACTTTAGGTAGTGATGAAATACCAGAGGCAGATTTTAGGGGTTGTGGAGAAAGCTTCAGCAGTACATCATTAGCATAATTCTTTGCTTTTATGACACATAGATTACATTTTAACTTCTGTGAAATCGGGATATATATTACAGTCACTGGTATTTTATAATCACGGTGGCTGAGATTGAAGTTGAGTTTTGCTAGAGAGGTTTTATGTGTGCTACTGCCAAACACTTGGGGACATTACCAACCTGAAACCACTTGAGGTTTTCTGACTGAGGTATTTTGGACCACCTTGGTAAAGACTAATTCAGTCTGCAAACTTAATGTGAGTACTAGCTTGTGGTTCAGATTCTCAGGAGAGCTTTTTGCTGTTTTTCTTTCTTTACTCAGTTCCAGGTTGAGATGTGGACAATTCCTTTTCATTGGGTGGATTTGTTTTTCATTTATCTTTACAGTGGGGGTATTTAGTGTCTTTAGTATTCTCAAACAAGGATCTCCTGATAAACTCTCCATCTTGAACATTTTTTTCCTCATGAAATAATGATCTATCTTGTAATTGATGGCATCTTAGATTCAGTGAAAGACAATAAATGTAATTATTTAAATTCACAGAAGCCCAGAACAGATTTCTAAAGGCCAAACTCCGTGTTATGCAGGAAGAATTGGATAATGTTGTATATGAATGTAATAAAAAGGTAAAAACCTCTCAAATTCCCTAATATTCAAAGATATTTTAGTAGCAGTTTCAATTATTTTAAAAATATATTCATTGAGGTATAATTTACTGTTAAATTTTGAATTAAATTATATATAAATACTCAACTTTTATTCTGAAATAGTGAATTTTCACTGAGCTAAAGAATTTTAAATACTTGTTAGCAGTTAGAATTTTCTGTGTAAGATTTACAAATGTAAGCTATTAAACACAAAATATCTCACTTCCATTTTTGAAGATGAAAATGGAATGTAATTTGTTTTTCTTTGTGAAATGAATATAAATATCTGAAATCATATGAAGCTCCTTTTTTACTGCTTTGTTTTGATACTAAACTTTGTGCATTTTTTCACATAATGTATAATTTCATAACTATAGGAAAATGAAATTCAGAATTTAAAGTCACAAATAAAAAACTTTGAAGAAGATTGTATGAGACAGCAGCGAACAATTAATTTGCAGCAGTCTCAAACAGAAAAATATAAAACTCTTTTTGAAGAGCTAAACAAAAAATGTGATGGATTACAGCAACAGCTATCTTCAGTAGAAAAGGTAATAATTTTGCTATTTTTCTGGACCTAATGTTAAAGATACTATAAAACTTTAAAGTTTACATGTTTGTGAAGACACTACTTTTATTGGTTCAGTTATTTTGTTAGTATTTACTAAAATGTCTTCCAATATAAGAATATTTTTTAATAGCGTTATTGAAATACAATTCACAAATAATACAAATCACCCTTTTAAAGTATACAATTTAGTGGCTTTTAACATATTCAGAGTTGTGCAACTGTCAGTATGATCATTTTAGAACATTTTCATCACCCCAAAAAGACATTCTGTACCCTTGAGCCACCGTATCCTAACCTTCTTCCCCTAGTCCCCTCCATCTCTAGGCAACTTCTAATCTATTTTCTGTTGATAGATTTGCCTATTTTGGACATTTCATATATACAGAATTATACAATATGAGATATTTTGGGATATCTTTCGTATAAGAATGTTTTTGAGGTTCATCCACATTATAGTACATACCAGTACTTCGTTCCTTTTTATAGAGTAATATTCCATTATATGGATATAACACATCTATTTCTTTATCAGATGATGGATATTTGTTTTATTCCTACTTTTTGACTATTTTGAATAATGCTGCTATGAACATTAACATACAAGTTTTTGTGTGGACATATGTTTTCATTTGTCTTGTGTGTATACCTAACAGTAGAATCATTGGATCATATGGTTACCCTGTGTTTAATCTTATGAAAAACACCAGCTATACTGTTTGTACATTTCCACCGGCAGTGTATAAGGGTTCTGTTTTCTCCACATCCTCACCAACACATGTTAGATAATCTTTTTTTTTTTAATTTTTATTTATTTATGATAGTCACACACACAGAGAGAGAGAGAGAGAGAGAGGCAGAGACACAGGCAGAGGGAGAAGCAGGCTCCATGCACTGGGAGCCGATGCGCCCTGGGCCAAAGGCAGGCGCTAAACTGCTGCGCCACCCAGGGATCCCAGATTATCTTTTTGATTCTAGATATCTACTCACGTAAAGTTATCTTGTCATATTGATTTTCATTTCTCTGATAACTAAAGATTTTGAGCTTCTTTTCATATGTTTATTGGCCATTTGTATGTCTTCTTTGGAGAAATATCTGATTCTTTGCTCATTGTTTAAATTGGAACTTTTAAATTCTTGAGTAGTAAATGTTTTTTTTATATATTTTAGATACAAGTCCCTTATCAGATACAGATTTCTAAATATCTCTCCCATTCATTAGGTTGTCTCTTCACTTTCTTTACAGTGACCTTTGACGCACAAAATTTTTTAATTTTGAAATCCAGTGTATCTAATTTTTCTTTGGTTATTTGTGCTTTTCTTATCAAATCTAAGGGGATAATACATTTTAAATAAGCTATCCTATTAAAAATTTTATATTGTGCCGTTGAGATAATAAAAATAAAGCATACTGTATGGTATTACTTTGTAAGACTTAGGATAAAAATTATGTATTATAAGAGATTTAGGAAGTAGGAAATTATGTCTTCATTTCTATATTTTTCTTTAGTGTGTTCATATAAAAGACCATATGTTTGAACATTTTAGTCTTGTATAATTAGCATTATCTTCTGGTAAAAAAATTCTTAATATTGGATTCATTGAGATAAGATTCGTGTACAGTAAATCACCCTTTTTAAGTATACAGTTCTGTGAGCTTTGACAAATACATAGTTATATAACTATCACCATAATTGAAATATAGAATAGTTCTACCATCCCCAAAAGTTCCCTTGTGAATTTAGTCAAATCCTTTGCATACTTTGAGTCTAAGGCAGCCACTAATCTGGTTTTGGTTCTTACATTTTGGTGTTTTCCAGATTGTCATGTAAATAGAATCACATAGAATAACTTGTAGGCTTTTGAGTCTTTTTTCACTTGCATAAAGCAATTGAGGTTAATCCATGTTGAAATCTGTTCTTTTTAATGCTGAGTAGTATAACATTGAATGGATGTACCACATTTTGATTACCTGTATGTCCGGAAATAAAAATTAATTACATTATCTAGTAGCAGAAAGTGCTACCCAATATGGTAGCTAACTATATGTGGCTATTCCAAATTGTGACATGCTATAAGTTTAAAATAAATACCAGATTTTGAAGACTTAATACAATAAAGAATTAAAAAGAGAATCTTTTTTTTTAATTATTCTTTTTTTTTAATTTTTTATTTATTTATGATAGTCACTCAGAGAGAGAGAGAAAGAGAGAGAGGCAGAGACATAGGCAGAGGGAGAAGCAGGCTCCATGCACTGGGAGCCCGACGTGGGATTCGATCCCGGGTCTCCAGGATCGCACCCTGGGCCAAAGGCAGGCGCTAAACCGCAGCGCCACCCAGGGATCCCGAGAATCTTTTTATATTGATTACATATTGAAATATTTTAGATATATTGGGATAAATGAAGTATAGATATATATAATGAAGTATAGTATTAAAATTATTTTTACTTCTTTTTAAAGTAGTTACTAGAAAATTTTAAATTTCATATATGATTCATATTATATTTGTTAGTCTAAAAATTATAGACCAGTGTTCTAAGAAAAAACCATTGTATCTGGGAAACCAGAGTTTTAATTTGTCATGATACTTTATCATTTGTCATCATGCTGACAAGTTTCTGGTCCTGTCATCAGGATCATTTCACATAATCTGAAACCTTGTCTACATCTCTGATTCTCTTCTTCTTGGCCTTTATACCCAATCCTATGCATTCTTCACATGTTTTTCATTCTTTTTTTTTTTTCAATTTCCATTGCCCCTTCTTGATTCAAGCTATTATTATCTTCTTTCTGAATCCCCCCACTGATTATTTTATGTCCTTTCTCTTTTCCTTATCCATTGTATCCTATGTTCTGTCAATAGATTAATATTCCCAAAAGACCACATATGATTATAACTCCACCTTTGTATGGCAAAAATGGAACTAATATTTTTTTTGAGTACTATGTGTCAGGCAAACATATTATAGAAAGAGACTGAATCTAATAGGTTAAGCAAATTGCCCAGGGTCATACAGATAGTGGCAGAGCAGGATTCAAGCCATGTTTGTCTGACTCCAAAGTCTGTGTTCTTTCCACAAATCATGTAGACTCTTTCTCCAACCCCTCAAAATTAAGTGGTCTACTATTCCAAAATCTCACTGCTGTTGAGAGTTAAATATTTGAACCTTTGGTTCACAGTGAGTCTTCTAAGCTATTATGATACATCGACTATCTGAAGATTTTTATTATAATGACTTTTCATTAGCTCTGAACTTCCCAGCTTGAATCCTTATCTACCTACCAGACAGAGAGGTATAACAACTCTCATGGGTTATGCAGAACTCAATATTGAGTCTTTTTTTTTTTTTTTGGCTAATTCTGCAAAACAAAACAAAACAAAACAAAAAACAAAAAAAACCCTCAATGGACATTTGATAGAAATGCAAAACAGAGCTTGAGTTTGATGGAGCTGCTTCTATAAACCTATAAAAGCCAACTATTTAAAAAATTACTACAACTATTATACTAACAGAGCCATTTCTAAAATACAAAAACAAAACATTTTATTGCAGCATTCAATTTTGTTTTTCAGTTAATCTATTTTAAAATCAACTTTATTGAGAAATAAATACAATTAAATTTACTTGTTTTAATCGTGCAGTTCATTGAGCTTTGGCAAAATAGTATATCCTTATAACCATCACTGCACTTCCTCCAAATTTCCTTTGTCTCCCTTCCTCCAAATCTCTGACCTCTGACCATGGCCCATCCACTCACTGATCTGCATTCCTTTGTTACAGATTAGTTTTCCCTGTTCTACAGTTTCATACAGATGGAATCATAAGTATGTACTTTTTTATGCCTGGCTTCTTTTGTTCAGCATAATGATTTTGAGATGCATTGTTGTTGCATATTTTGTGGTTCATTCCCTGTATTGCTGGGTAATGTTTGTTTATGGATGTACTGAATTTTGTTTATCCATCAATTTGTAGACATTTCTGTTGTTTCTAGCTTTGAACTATTAGAAATGAAGACACTATGAATTTTCATATACAAGTTTTTATGGAGACACATGTTTTTGTATAGGCACATCCAGTGATGTTGGAAAAATACCTAAGGGTAGAATTTCTGAGTATTACAGAAAGTGTATGTTTAACTTCATAAGAAACTGCCAAACTGGGTTTCAGAATTTTAGCCATTCCAGAGGGGCAGCATATTAGTATCTCATAGTGGTTTAATTTGTATTTTATAACTATTGATCTTGAACATTTTTTTATGTTATTGGCCATTCATATATCTTCTTTTGTCTATTCCTTTTGCCCTTTTAAAAAAAAGTATTGAATTGACATAGGAAGTCCTTATGTTTCCTTATATAATTCTTTTGCTAGAATATATAGTGAAGAGTTTCTCACAGTCTTACTTGGCTTTTTTTCTTAACAGCATTTTTCAAAAGATAGTTTTAAAGTTTGATGAATTCCAGTATTTTATTTTATTTTATTTCTAGTTTGTGCTTTTTTAACCCTATTTAAGAAATCTTTGCCCAGTCCAAGGTCATGAGGATTTTCTCCCATGTATTCTTAAGTTTTATGGTTTTAGCCTGTGTGTGTGTGTGTGTGTGTGTGTGTGTACATGCATATATAAATAGATCTGTAACCTTTTTCAGGTTAATTTTGTATATGGCATGAGGGTAAGGTCAAGGTTTATTTTTCAGACAATCAACATTTGCTGAAAATACTATTCTTTCTCAATTTAATTACCATGGCACCCATGTCTTTATCCCGTCTCTCCCTCCCCCAATGTGAAACTTCAATTGTACTTCTCTTAGACTGCTTGATATTATTACACTTAAAATATATCAGTGATATTAGGTCACTAATATTTTTAGCCTTTTTTATTTGGATAGATTCTATTGCTATGTCTTCAGTAGTTTACTGATCTTTTCTTTGCAGTGTCTAATATGCTCTTATTCTTAACCAAGTGAAATGTTCATTTTGATACATTACTCATCTATGGAAGTTCCATTTGATTCTCTTTTATATTCTCAATGTCCTCATTATATTAACATATATAATTAAAATAGCTGTTTTGACAGCTTTGTCTGATGGATCTGTCATATTTCTCATTTATGGATTTGTTTCTATTGACTACTGTTTCTTCTGTATATCAATCACATTTTCCTGCTTCTTGGTTTGGTTAGGGATTTTATACTGAATGCTAAACATTGTGAATATTATATTGTTGAGTGGTTGTGTTTAGTGTGCTCTTTGAACACAGGTAGTTATTTGCCAGTTTAGTCCCTTTGAGACCTGTTTTTAAGTTTGGCTGGCATGTGTCTAGAGTAGCGTCGGGGAATAGTTCAGCTGTACCACTAAGGCTTCCCTTAAAGAGACCTTCCAGAATCTCCTCTGAATGCCTCAGATGATCACTAAGGTCTCTCCTTTCTGTCAGGTTAGAGATCAGATGTCATCCTTCCTTGTGTGAACTATGTTTGCATTGTTCTGTTTACATTCCCTGATTGTTCTTTGCTGGCCTTGTTGGGTTTCTCTGTATGTAGGTGCGGCCTCGTCCTCAGTATACTGGAAGGATATCCTGTGTAGATTCCTGAAGCTCCCTCCTAATGGAGTTCCTTCTACTTGAACCCTTCTCATAAATTCTAAGGACCTCAGTCTCCTCCAGCTTCCATCTCTGTCCCTCAACTTAGCAGACCTCGGCTGTGTTTGTATTTTCTCCACATTATACCCACAGTGTGGACATTGCCTCCAGGCAGAATGCTGGGGTGATTGTAACACTACTCCATTTATTTTTCTTCTCTCAGGAGTCATAATCCTACTGTTTTCCTTTATCTCTAAATAGTTATATAACACATTTTGTCTATTTTCTTTAGTTTACATTGTGTTTTTATCTTAGGTTCTTATTTCATCATGAGTAGAAGCCTTAATCTTTGTTTTAGGGTTTTTTGGGGGTTTGGGTTTTTTTTTGGGGGGGGGGTCAAATTATAGTCAGTAGGTACATTCCACAAGTTTCTCTGACCATGGATTATGTCACACAAACATTCCTATCACTAGTAACTCACTTAAAAAAAAAGTCTGCTCTCTTTTTCTTTCATTCCAGCTAAAATTGAGGTTTGTGTCATTTTCTAAAGATGCTTTGTTCTTTGTTTCTGTAGCAAAGCGCCTCAAAAGCATTTTCTTTATTTCTTCAAGTCCTTATCTTGCAAAGGAAGCTTTTAAATTTTTGCCTGTATGTATCCTGCAAAGCCATAATTTTAATGGTCCTTATCTTCGTTTAATATTGTATAGTTTACAAATTGCGATCACATACATATGATAGTTGTGTGTAGTCATATGGTTTTATTATATAGATCTGCACCTTCCCCTAGCTCTTTATTCCCTTTTCCCCAGCTTAAGTTTCATGGTGCACTACTTAATTATCCATTGTATATATTCTTAATTTCATGTGCCCATCATTTATGTAGAATAGTACCTGGCACACAGTAAATGCTTGATAAATGTGCTGAAGAAGTAAGTAGGTATAGATATCATTACTACCAATTTTAGATATGGGAACTGAGTCTACCACAGCTCATAGGTTCTCTGACTCCATGTTCATTGCTTTTTGTATCTTAGCACTTTTTTCTAAAACCTTATCTGATCATTTATTCTCATCTGAATATTCCTCTTCTGAATTACTGTGACAATTTGTGTTACTCTAAAGTATTTACTACCATTTTTATCCTGTGCTGTGGTTACTGATACAATACCTCTCTCTTTTCTTGCCCTCTCCCAGTGCTTTATGAATGCTTTAAAAGTTAAGAGAGGTTGGCAAATTATTTCTTCTTGGATCTCATAGTATTTGAGCTTTTAAGTGAGTTTTTAATTTCTTTAAGCTAAGTTTTTCTCTTAAAAAAGGCTAAAATAAAATTCAGGGCTTAAGGTCTTTCCTAATATTTGTCTTTAACAACATGTAAACTGCTTATTTTTTTGGTAACAGTAGATTTGCTTTACTATTTTTAGCATATAAGGTATCATAAAAAATACTGGTATCTTGTCTACTTTGTAGATTACAAAGTACTTGAATGTGATTAAAAATAAATGTTTTCAAAAAAATAAATGTTTTCAAGTTTTTGGTAGGTTTTCCCTTTCCTTAGTGGATTTGTTCATTTGGGAATACTTTATTTCCTATTTTACTTTTCTAATGCCTTTTTTCTTTTTCACTTCTCCCAAGAAGGGAGCCATATTGATTCACCGTTAAAGGAACATAATGTGGTGTAGGATGGTTTTCATTTTTCTGTGAAGTAGGTTACAAAGTCACCAGCAGGAAAGAGAAGGGCAAAGATTTATTTTCATATTCTTTGGAGAAGAGGCTAAAATGAGGCAGCTAGAATTGTGGACTTTGTAGCTAATAAGAATCTCTGCCTTTTCCATGTGAACAGTGAGATAAATCAAGCTTGCTTTTACTGTAGCTACCACCCACAAAGCTGTGAAGAAGGCTGGTGATAGCAGATGGTATCCATACACAGTTTGATTTGTTTAGAAACCTACATAAAGAGCAGCATGTGTTTTGTTTTGTTTTGCCCTTAATTACTTAGGGCCAGGGAGATCAGTTTTAAAATAAAACAGTGATACAGCCAGGAGAAAAAAATTTATAATAAAAGAATAAAATAGACAACTATATTTATAATTGCATCATTTCAATTCCATAATATTTATTGAATCTCTGTTGTGTATTAGGCTCTGTACTAGACATGGTAGGGGATGCAAAGAAGGGTGAGTTAAGTATTACAAAATAAATTCAGTTGAATAAACATGTCATTAGTGCCTCCTCTGTGCCCCTAAGTTCTGGGAATACAGAAATTAGGACCATTTCTATCCTCAGTGAGCTTACATTAATAATGTGGAAAATGAAGTAAATGAATAGTTTCAGTTCTGCACAGCAGATACTGTGATATATGTGTGTCAAGATGTAGAAGCTCTGAAGAAAGGGTACCTAATTCAGCCTGGAAGGAGAATGAGGAGGAGAATGAGGGAAGGCTTCCTGGTGGAGGTCAAACCCTCATGTACATCCCTCATTGAGTCTTAAAGGATGAATAGTTGCTGGCCAGGTAAAAATGAGCAGGGAGGAAGGATCAAGGAAGAAGGAAGAGCATGAGATAAGCCAAGGCTCAGAGACAAGAAACATCATAGCTGTTTGGGAGAGTTCCATATACTGCTGATATATCTGAAGGGTAACATCTTGCAGGAGATAAGATTATAGTGCCAGATAATGGTAGAGTTTGGGGTTTATTCTACATGTTCATGTTTCTTCAGACCTGTAGACTCTGTGACAGCATCCCTTAGAATATTTGCAGACATACAAGTCTAAATCTACCCCAAGATGTGGAACATTAACCCATAACATGATTTTTTGCTCAAGAGTTGGAATTTACCCTGTAAGGCTAATGTAGAATGCTCTGTTTTGAACAAATATTTCTTTTTTAAAAAAACATTTTATTTATTTATTTATGAGAGACAGAGAGAGAAGTGAGACGTAGTTCAGAGGGAGAAGCAGGCTCCCCACAAGGAGCCCAACACAGGACTCGATCCTGGACCCCGGGATCATGCCCTGAGCCGAAGGCAGACGCTCCACCTCTGAGCCACCCAGGCATCCCTTGAACAAATATTTCTTATATGATATACTTTGTTCGGTTTATACAAACACAGTATTTATGAGAGTTTGTGCCTTACATAGTTGTTATGAGGAGGTTCCCAAAGGAAGAACTATAGGTACAAAGAGTTGCTTATAAAATAAATATAGAGGACTTCTATACTATATAAAAAGAGATGGAACATTTCAAACAATAAGTAATTTGAAAGCCTAATTCTTGACTACATCTTTAAGGATATATCTGTCTAATACCAATTCAGGGTAAGAATTCCCAGAGACCTCTCACTCATTGCTCAGCCCCCAGCCTTTGAGGTGTGTGTGTATGTGTGTGTGTAAAATTTGGGAGAAAGCAAGGAATATGGAAATGGAAAAGCAGAATAATAGAGGGAACTTATAAATGTTCCATATATCTCTTCTACCATATAGGAATTAGAAAGTAAAAGAAGACTACAAAAACAGGCTGCCACTAGCCAAAGTGCTACAGAAGTTCGGTTGAATAGAGCTCTAGAAGAGGCAGAAAAGTACAAATTGGAGTTAAGTAAATCAAGGCAAAATAACAAGGTATGGAAAAATTGAATAGTTTTGGTAATGATCACCTTTGGTAACTTTTTTTGCAAGAGTCAAAAATAATAGTTTTTAAATTTTAATTCTTAATGTTATGTGAACATTTCTGTTTTCAGAAGCACATTCATTATTGTTATGTAATTTTCAACAAATCTTTATTGTGTGCCCATGTTATATGCCAGACATTTTTCTAATCTCTGGATACAAATGGTAGGAAAGAGTCTCTTTTGTATCTCAAATCTGTTTCCTTCTCTTCTTTACTCACTTTTCTAATATAATGCAAAGGGCTACTTTATAGGGCAGTGGTTCTCAAACTTGAGCATGTATCAGAATTACCAGGAAGGCTGGTTAAGACAGATTGCTGGGCCCCACACCCAGAGTTTCAGATTTAGTAGGTCTAGGGTGAGGCCTGTTTTAACTAGTTTTAATAAGCAGTTTTAACAAGTTCCCTGGTGATGCTGATGCCACTGGTTCTGAGACAACATTTTGATAATCACTGTTGTATCCCAGTATCTAGCCAATGATTGGTATAGAATTAGCGCTCAATGCCTGAAATAACTGTTGAATAAATGAAGGCTCAAATATCATTGTGTATGAAAACTGTTTGCATACTCTATAAATTTTGACTAATTCAATTTTGGTTCTTTGTCAACCTAAAAGTGATGCTCCATTGGAATCTCTCCCTTTGGATAATACTGAATAATTTACACTTAGCAGAGGCTTGATGAAGTTAGGAGCCACCTTTGTGACATACACAGATGATACATTTCCAATAAACTAACAGCACTTAATAGGACATAAAACTAGACTGAACTTGATAAATCCTCCAACATATTTAACAGAGGCAAAATGTGACAGTGACTACAGAGTTTTGAGATATCTTCTGTGAGATAGTTTGTATTGTGTAATCAGACTGTGTTCATGTTCAAGAGCCATCGATGATGGTATGTTGGAGATTTATTAACAGAAGTTATTAAATGAATGAGGAAGTCATCTTTATAACTTGCCAATAATTAGCATGCTATTGGAATATTATTTCCAATTTGGTTCACTCTGGAGGGATTTTGAAGAAAATAAAATGGAATAACCATGTATATGTCAGGATTTGCTAATTCTTAGTTGTTGATGTTTTAGCACAATTAGAGAAGTAGAAGGAAAAACTTGTTTCCATGACAGCAATAATCCTATTGAGCCATTTTGCAAATTGACATACCAAGTCCTCATTAATTAGTTTAAAACCATCAACACTGTAAAAGCAAGTATGTTCAAAACAAATTTCTGATCCAAAGTCTGCATTATGGGTGATCAGTTTAAATGCAGTAGGAGAACATTTTGTAACTATTTGCTATCAAGTAGACATTTTGAAATCAGAGTTCTTAGATGTAACTTATTTTAGATTTCTGAAAAAATATGTGTATGAGTCTTAAGTTTCTGATTTTTTTCAATTATTTTGCTTCATTTCTAACTTGTCTTTTTTTTAAAATATTTTATTTATTTATTCATGAGAGATAGAGAGAGAGAGGCAGAGGGAGAAGCAGGCTCCATGCAGGGAGCCCGATGTGGGACTTGATCCCAGGACTCCAGGATCACGCCCTGGGCCAAAGGCCAGGTGCTAAACTGCTGAGCCACCCGGGAGTCCCCTAACTTCTGTCTTTGAAGAACATTTTGGGCTTATGCTATTTAGTTTTTCCTTGTAGTCTAGCCTATATATAAGTTTTTTTGTGAGGAGGTATATTTTTTCCATTTTAATTCTTTGTACCTTGCTTCTCATTCTAATTAGACATATGATTAGGTAGATAATTAAAATTATTCAGGTTGGTATGTTTAAGAAATAGTAAGGTTTCCATAAAATGGGACAAGATTGACTCCTAGTCATGAAAAAGTTAAAGATTTATTTTAAAAAATGATATATTCTGCACAGAGGTAAGGAAACTAATCTGGCCTTAGAGTAAGAGTAACTTTTGAAATGAAAAGTCAGTCAAGTTCAATCAGATGCTGCATGAGTGCAGGGACCCCGATTGTCTCATTCTGCTGTGTTTCAGTGCCTGGAACATAGTAATTGCCTCTGAAATATACTATAGGAAGGAATGAGGAAAGACAACTATGTGATGGTTTAATTGGAATTCTTAAAAACAGAGCATTTGATTAGATTGTTTGCTTATAGTCCATTTAAAATATGTCACCAGGGATCCCTGGGTGGCTCAGTGGTTTAGTGCCTGCCTTCGGCCCAGGGCGTGATCATGGAGACCCGGGATCAAGTCCCACGTCGGGCTCCCTGCATGGAACCTGCTTCTCCCTCTGCTTGTGTCTCTGCCTCTCTCTGTGTGTGTGTGTCTGTCGTGAATAAATAAATAAAATCTTAAAAAAATAAAATAAATAAAATATATCACCAAGTCCATGTTATTTCATTTAGGAACAGATAATTTCAAATTCTTTATTAATTCATTTAGAAATATTTACGAAGGCCTTCTAGGTACCTGCCAGACCTTTCCTAGAGACTGGAGATGCAAAAGTGATAAAGATAAATAAATAAATATGATTCCTGTAATCATATACTCCCTGTAGTGGAGAAGCTGTGTGTTATTTAGACAATTCATCAAGCAAAACTGAGGTGCAACTGTGATTTGAGCAGGTAACCAGGTAAAGGCATGCTTTTTTTAAAAACGTAATTCTGAGTTAAGATCTGAATAATATTAACAAGTTATATGCTAGGAAGAGATTATGGACAAAGGGAATCCTATGTATAAAATGGCTCTGTGGTAGGAAAAAAAACTAGGTCATGAAAGTCAGGGATGGAAGTGAAGAGAATGTTGTGAAGTGAGGCCTCAAGCAGGTAGAGGCCAAACCATCTAGATCCTTCAGGCTGTGTTGATATTTGGGGTTTTATCCAAATATAGTACAACGCCACTGCATGGTTATTTTGAACAAGGTAAGGGGAGACTATGCAGTGATCATATGTGTGCCTGGAAAGTATTTTTGTTTATTGTGTGGAGAATTCATTGGAAGGAGGCAATGAATTCTGGCTAAAGAGTAGCAGTGTGAGAGATGGAGGCAATGAACTCAGGTTAAGAGGAGCAGTATGAGAGATGATGAAGTAGCTTGGACTAGACTGATAGTGGTGGAAATGGAGAGAAATAAGTATCAAAATACATTGAAGAGAGAAAAATTACTAGGACTTGATGATGGGTAGAGATGGAATTGTGGAAAAGGGAAGCTTTTGAGAGGATGTTTTGACTTTTAGTTTTCAGAACTGGATAGATAGTGCCATTCCCTGGAGTAGGTTTGGGAAAGATTTTAGAACATCTTGAGATTCATCCCATTGTTCCATGTGACAGTAGTACACTTTTAATAATTTTACACATGGTATAAATATAACAAACAATACCATCTATTGATGGACTTAGGGTTGTTTCCAGTTTTCACTATTACAAATAAAGCTGCCATGAGCATTCACATATATGTCTTTGTGTAGACATGTGTTTTCATTTCTCTTGGGTAAATACCTAAAATTAATAAACATCTGGGTTTTATTATAGATGTACGTTCAACTGCCAAACTGGTTTCCAAAATGGTTTTACCAATTTATATTCTTAACAGCAGTATATAAAAGTTTTAGCTGTTCCATGTCATGACCAACATTTGACATAGTCAGGCTTTTACATTTTACTGTTCTAGTGGGTGACTAACAGTATGTCATTGTGGTTTAGTTTGCATATTCCTAATGACCAGTGAATAATACAAACATCTTCATATGCTCATTTGCTATCTTGAGATTTTCTATTTTCCCCAGTTTTATTGAGATATAATTGACATACAGCATTATTAAGTTTAAGGTATATAGCATAATGATTTGATTTATATATTGTGAAATGATTACCACAGTAAGTTCATTTAATATCCATCATCTCACAGAGATACAAAAAATAAGAAAAGCTTTTTTCCTGGTGATGAGAATTCTTAGGATCTATTCTCTTAACAACTTTCAAATATACCATACAACAGCTAACTATAGTTATCATGTTGTATATACATTACATCTCTAGTGTTTTATTATAACTGGAAGTTTGTGCCTTTTGACCACCTTCCTCCAATCTCCCCTCCTGCCTCCCACCACTCCCTACATCTGTTAACCATAAATCTGATCTGTTTTTCTTTGCATTTTTAAAAAGAGTTTTTAAGTATAAGTATGATCACACAGTATTTGTCTTTCCTTGTCTGACTTACTTAGCATTATGCCCTCTTGGTCCATCCATGTTCTTATGAATGGCAGGATTTCTCTTATTTATTCCACTGAGTGTATATACCACAATTTCTCTATCCATTCATGCATTGATGGACTTTTAGGTTGTTTCCATGTCTTGGCTATTATAAATAATGCTGCCGTGAATATGGCATTGCAGATATCTCTTTGATGTAGTATTTTCATATCGTTTGGATATATTCACAGAAGTGGAATTGCTGGATTGCATGGTAGTTGTATTCTAAATTTTTTGAGGAACCTCTAAACTGTTTTCTATAGTGGTTTTACCAATGTACAATCCCACTAATATTGCACAATGTTCCCTTTCCTCCACATCCTCTCCATCATTTGTTGTCTCTTGCTTTTTGATGATAGCTATTCAGATTGAATGCAATTCCTATCAACATTCTATCAAGATTGAAGATACTGTTTTATTTCCCCTTTGATTTCTTCTTTGACCTGTTTGTTCAGGAGAGTCTAGATACCTTCTTTGGTGAAGTTTTGGTAAAAAGTTTTTTCTCTTAATAATTTTTAATGAAGTTTAATTTATAGAAGTTGTAAATCAGCATAAAAATTGTAAAGTTAGTACAGAGCATTTCTGTAATCTTCAAACACAGTTTCCTCTGAAACTAACATATACATTAGTATGGTACATTTACCATAGCTAATGAATGAATCAATAACGTTATTCACTAAAGAGCATACTTTATTCAGATTTCCTTAGTTTTTAATCTCTTTGGTTCATTTTTAAAAATTG